CAGTTCTCAAAATGGCACACTTGGTGTGATTAGAGCTATTTAGAATAGTCAAGAAAAATCCACGTATACAATCCAACAATTTTCAGTCCGGTCATCTGGACAGTTTCTTTTTTTTGTGCTGAAATGTTTCACCTTCCATCCAGAAGGCTTCATCAGTCAAGGAAACACACAATACAAAACTGATTCTTCCCCCAACAGCTTACTCCACAAAGTGGAACAAACCAGTTATGTTGGTGCTAAGATGGGCTCTTTGGTTTGTTCCACTTTGGAGTAAGCTGTTGGGGGAAGAATCAGTTTTGTGTTGTGAGTTTCCTTGACTGATGAAGCCATCTGGATGGAAGGTGAAATGTTTCAGCACAAAAAAAAAAAAAAAGAAAGAAACTGTCCAGATGACCTGAATGAAAATTGTTGGATTGTATACCTGAATTATTGAGCATGGACTTAGTTGGTTTTGAACCAGTTTGACATGACTGTCGATGAAAAAGAGGGCCGGCACCGGAGGAGGTGGCGTGCCAAAGAGACCATCTTAGCACCAACATAACAGGTTTGTTCCACTTTGGAGTAAGCTGTTTGTGGGAAGAATCAGTTTTGTGTTGTGTGTTTCCTTGACTGATGAAGCCTTCTGGATGGAAGGTGAAACGTTTCAGCACCAAAAAAAAAAAAAAAAACTGTTCAGATGACCTGACTGAAAATTGTTGGATCTTTAGCATAGCATTTTTCACACAAAGCTTTTAATAAAAAAAATCAGTAAACAAGTTCTCAGCTTCTTTTTGCATAGAAAAACAACTTTTTACACGAAGGCACGGGTTACAACCAAGAATTTTGGAGCGTCGACAAGATGGAGGTTTTTTCCCCGAGGTCAGCCTGTTAGCTTAGCTCGTAGCTTAGCTTCTCAGCTTAGCTGCTTTTAATGATCCAAAAATGTGATTTTGAATGGTTAAAATAGATTTTAAAGAGAAAAGGAGGGGTCAGTGAAGAACACCGGTGTTGAACCTTTTGTCATCCAGTGTCTTCAATAGAAAGAGAGAGACACGAAGATACTTTAAAGCCGATAAATGAAAATGAGGTTGATAATTTTCATTTACAAATTTATTCACCCTGTCAAACTTGTGTTTATATAAAATCTTAGCATTGTTTAACGTTGCTCACCACCTTTTTATGCTTTAAAACAAAAGATCATCTTGTGTTGAGATGGGATAGAGTTGTAGTCAATTTGGTCGAATTTGGTTGAAATGGAACCGCCATGATGACCTGTAGGACAGAGGAACTGAACTCTTCTTGAGGAAAGAAAGTTTGTGTAATGATAAATAAAACCTTTGGTGAGAAAATTCATTTTATTCTATTTTTTAATATTTTGTCAATTTATTCCACCCATATTGATGCTTTTGGTAAATATGAATGTGGTGCAGCTGTGGCTGGAGTTAAAGGAAACTTGTTGAATTGTGTTAATTGGAGTTCTTGCTTTAGTGATGTCATTCATTCTTGCTATGAGATACATGTCTGTGATGAAGCGCCATATTATGCCACATTTCTGTGTATTATTGATGTTTCTGTAGCCATGGCATGATAATGACAGTATTGAGAGGTGGATAAATTCAGGACACCACTGAAGGCCAAAGTGTAAAATGTACAGCCCAGTACTGGTCTATATAAAGTTTTAGAGAAAAATATATATGTGTTTAAGTACAGCATTAGAGATTCAAGAAAAAGTGCACACATTTATATTTAAGAAACTGCTAAATGTGCAGTAGTGGATAAAAATGTGCTTTATCGTGCACTTTTATGAGCTGCTTTTCTACTTTTTGATGGCAGCTATAGTAAGAATGAAGGAAGAGTTTACTGTAACTGTCGAACCAGTAACGTGTTGGTAACGTTTTAAAGAAAACTAGTATACAGTCTGTTGGTGGGACATTCCAGTGTGTCCGTTGAAGAGGATGCTGGAGCAACGAGTGGAGGAGTCGAGCTGTGATAAGAAGTCAAATGTGTTTGAGCCGATAGCTCGTGACCTCAGAAAGCACAGTGGGCCTGATAGCACACATTTTGCTTCTCTGGCTGTTGGCTCTGTGATAAATGGTTTTGGGTGTGTAAACACCGGCTAAATGGTTAGGGAGCTGTATTTTTCTTTTATTTTCTTCCAACCATGTGACATCATCAGCGTTGACAAAACCCAAATATAAGGTAACTGTTAATATTATATTTGCTGCTTTAAATGTTGAACTCTTGCTGAAATTTTAGCTCAAGTTTTGCTGAAAGGCAAAGGTGGATGATAATGTTTTTAACCCCTGCATGTTTCATGATCGAAAACATTTCACGAACCACCTTAAGAATTTTAATCAAACTTGCTGAACGTAATCATTGGATCCACAGCTACAGCTGTTTACCTTTTGGAGCCAACCCAATTTAATATGGCTGCCACAGCTAACTTATAGAAAACACTAACAAAGCTGCAAGTCAGTCACCTTTACGTGAATTTTGCTGAAATTTGGGGCGATTGTTGTAAATGAGTAAAGTTTATTTATATAGCACCTTTCTTAGATGAGATGTCACAAAGTGCTTCACGGTAGAAGCAAGTAAATATTAAGAACATACACCAAAATGCATATAAGCATCCATACATAGAAAAGCTTACAAAAATACACATGCAACAAAATTCAACATTAGCTAAATACCCGTTTATAAAATAACGTCTCAAGATATTTTTGAATGCATCAATAGAATCTAGGTTGTGTAAAGATCACTCTAAAGTTGGGGTGCAACTGCTTGGAATGACCGATCCCTGCGAGACTTGAAATGGGCGTGGGCTAACGCCAATGACCTCTGACCTGATGACGTTAACCTGCGAGACTGTGTATAGCTGAGTCAGAGATATAAGAAGGCGCTTATTCATGCAAAGCTCTAAAAGATAAAACTAAAGTTTTACAATTCTACAATGAACTGGGATCCAGTTAAGGGAAGCTAAAACAGGTGATGTGAGCTCGTTTGTTTTTATGAGCTCTGAACAACCTGAAACCCGTCTGAGACTCATTCCCAACACATTCTCCAAGTGTTGCACGAGGTCTTTGCTTAAAACTTTGGCAGTAATAGTTAGTCAACACTGTTTGATCATTAGTGATGTATCTCATGAACTAGCAGACAGAGTTTAATAAAACTTACGTGATCACTGGCTGTACAGTAGTCCCTCGTTAATCGCGGGGGATCCTGACGCCCTGCGATAAGTGAAAAACCGTGAAGTAGGAACCCTTCCCCCACTCTTGCAATATTCTAAACAATGTTTCTAAACTCTAATGCTCTAAAAAAGCACAGAATGTCATGATTTCAGCTCCCTGCCTCCACTGCTCTTTGCCACCTGCAAGTGTTCTCGGCCACGCCCACTTCACAGGTCTGCACGGAGAACAGCTGATCAGCTGCAGCAGGAATTTTATCCTGCAGTAAGGGCTGCACAAAGGTGCAGGAGGTGCTAAATATTTTGAAATAATTTGTTTTAAATAAAAATTCCAGGCCGATCGTGCGGCTCATCCATCAATCAGCCACTTGTGTGTCATGTCCGCTCTTATTTTGAAAAACCGCGATAGAGCGAGGTCGCGATAAACGAACTGCGAATTAGTGAGGGACTACTGAACGCTGAAAATTCAGTCCAATTCAAGATTGCCTTTAAAGCTAATCTGCATTAGCCAACATATAAATGACTCTAAAGCAATCAGTTTTGCAGACAATGAGCTAAGTTTTGTTGTGGTAGTAGCTGAGAATCATTCGCAACATCTCGCAATGTGACATGAGGCTACAGAAATTATTTTCAACGTTGAACCAAAACAACCAAGACTCCTTTAATCCTCAACATACGCTGATCTTAAGCTAAAACTCAATACCGTGCAGAAGCTTGAAGATCTGTCGGTTTAACTCAAATCAACTGTGAGGGTAAAGCTCTGCGGTGGCGCTGATCGTGGACAGCTGCAGATGAAAAGGGCAGATGTGGCAGGCGTATCATTTAAACAACCAATGGAAAAAATACTGTGGCGGACAAGGGAATTTGAGTGTATTGCATTTTATTATTTTCCATTTCCACTTAGGGAGACACGTTCTGTTGCTTTTTATTTCGCCAGGTTGAAGTTATGAAAGCAAATGCCTTGGGGTTTGTTGTAATTAATTTTATGTATATATACAAAAAGTAATATTTTCTCTGGAGTTTATTAAACTTTCTGTTTGGCATATGGCTGTGGCTTTCTCTTTACAGTTCAGATCGGTTAAAAAAAGAGTAAAGTGAACTCTATTTCTTTTATTTTATAGTAAATTTAGTAGTTGACAAAACCTACACTGAGTACATGGGCGGCTGTGGCTGAGTGGTTAGAGCAGTCGTCACATGCCGAAGTGTCGCTGGGCAAGACACTGAACCCCTCATTGCCTCTGATGTGTGTCCCATCGGTGTATGAATGTGATAAAGCACTGATTATTCCTTGTATAGAGATAGTAGCTGTATGAATGGGTAAATGAGGGCACAGATTGTTGTAAAGCACCTTGAGTATCTTGATAAGGTAGAAAGACGCTTTATAAGTACAGTTCATTTGCATGACCTGTTTCCTTAGATCTTTCACACTAACATTTCCTGTTTTTTGTCTTTATGTCTGAGAAAATTATTGCCTGCATAACAAAGTACATCTGGTATTTGTTACTTTTTCTTTTACCAAACTGTGGCCCTCATACAGATGTGCATCCCAAACTGTGCCATGGGCGAACCTTTACAGGTCTAATATTCATTCATTAGAAACCATTTCAAGAACATTTTCAGTTTTTATCACTGGATCTTGTTTACCTCTGAATGGGGATCAGATGTTAGAACGTGTTTGACAGTTTGTTCCAGTTTTTGTTATTAGTGTGACAGTATATGTACTGTAGTTGTGTGGCGCTGAAACTACTGCTGGAGTGCAACAACCTGTTTATTGACAATCCAAAACATCATTACAGTTGAGGTAATATTGGTTCTCTGTAATTTCTTTTTGTGCCAGGTGGATGTATTTTGCACGCAGCACATGGCCTGTGTTCTGCTGACCGACATGAACCCGTCCTCATCCAGTCCACCAACCCCCAGCACAAGTCAGGGCCTTGAGCAAGACGTGAAGCCATCTTTTCTAACAGTTCATCTGCACCAGCCGGGGAAGGTCCAACAAGGGGGCAGCTTCTCACAGAACATACTCATTTTTCCACCTGGAGAGTACGTAGCAGAGGAACTATGCATCAGTGCAGCCAAAGCTTGCGGTGAGTTGCACGGGAATTTCAGTTCTCCCATTTGTCCACAAACTCAAAATGTCACTTTATTTATTCACCTGAGCACAGATCAGGACTTTCAACAAGCTTTACCTTTTTTTTATTTTAACCAAAATATATCCACATTCATTTGATGCATAAGCAAAACCACAAAAAATATTGTAAAACGTCATCATCCTGTTGATTCACCGTGTTCTGTTTGAATTAATACACGCGCCGTGTCACATTCAAGACTTTTCAAACAGTTCACTGGTTATGTGTCCTCATTTCTAACACAGCGTCTGATTGCTTTTGTGTATTTGCAAAGTTCTGCTTTTGTTCGTGTTGCACACTTTGCTAAAACGCCACTCCCAGTCTAAACATGTGTAAGAAAGGTTTTAGACAAGCTGTGCTAATTAAACCGACATGCTTGCATACAAGAATAGAAATGGTTTCAGGCTGATGGAATGCAATACATGATGTGTTCCTGTCATTACTTGTATGACACGTTTCGTTTGGGATGCACAATATTGGATTTTTGGCCGATATCCGATATGCCGATATATTAAAACTTATTTGGCTGATAACTGATGTTTTTTTTAATATACTTTCCTTTGTCAGAACATATTCCTCTTATTTAGGCTTATTTGCTAGAAAAAATGTGTAACAGCTGTAAGAGCTGGTGACATATATTCAGTAACAGCCATATGATATGCATATCATTTTAACTTATATTAAATGAAAAGTGTTAAATGTTATTTATTAGCATTAGTCACCTGCAATGCTGTCTCACTTGTGGAGCTTTTTCCAGGCTCCTAGTTGCAGAGTGGGATCCTCTGCACTCTTGTGCATAAAGGACAGCCTTTTTAAGTTCAAAGTTTTTGTCTATCCATTGTGCTGTAAGACTAATGTTGCTAACGGTGCTAACACGACGTCCAAATGTCTGTTGTTAAGCTCACCCAAGTGCTATCGGCTATTAGCTTTTCAACAATGTCGGAAATGACGACTTGTACCTTGGGTAAGGCTACGTCGGAAAAATATCTCTGACTGGGGACGATGTAGCGAGGTTCAACCTAGTCCAAAAATCTTCAGAATCAGATATCCTCAACGAAAAAAACTTCCACACCGCCGACATTTTGACTTCTTCCTCTCCGCTGTGATCAGATCAGGTAGGCGCGCGTGACGTCATCACGTTGTGCTGCCGCTGCAGGCATCCTTGTCACTGGGTTATCATACAAAAACAGCACCTTTTATACTGGGGAGTTATTTTAATGTAATGGTTGATGTCTGATATTTAACTTTAACACTAATATCAGCCATGCCGATAATACCGTGCATCCCTAGTTTCGTTGGATCATCCTGATTGTGCAAATGGCTTTACAGACGTTTCTTTCTGCGTTTACTTTCATTTTGTAGGATTTTTAATCTCCCATTTCAAATATTGCATTTGTTTGCTTAAATTTATAATGGAAGAAAAATAAGTTCGACTTTATCACCCCGTTTTTCTATAAACGTCCTTCAGAGAAGTTGTCTCTTTCTCTCCTTTCATTTCTTTCTGCCACACTCTCTTTCATCATTTCTCTTGTGAGATAAAGAAAAGTACTTCCTTATACACAACACATACTCCAAGTGCTATACATTGCTTGAGATCTTGGCTCAAAACGTCAGCATTACCTGTTGCAATCAACCCTGTTTCTGTTAGCAAAATATCTGAGCATGAGATTGCGTATAATGTCATTTTCAAGGTTTGAACAACATGGCTACAACAGTCGTTTAACAATAAAAGATCTTAGTCTGTTATAAGGAGAACTAATTGCGGGCCCCAAGCTACTGCAGCTAGCTGTGGGCCTCAGGCCTCATCTCGGACCCCAGGTCCACCACCAGCCTATGCTGCCCCCTGGCTCGGACCTCCCTCAAAAGCGGCAACTCACATTATCAATAAATCAAGGAAATGTGAATTAAGTTTTACCAGTTGTATTAAATCAAGGCAGGAGAAGGTGATAGTTTACAGCGCTAGCCGGTCCGGTACACGACGCAAGATCAGGAACCGGAAGGGACGGATGTCCCATGGCATTACAGATTTATAAGGCCTAGACTTCTCCTTCACAGAAGGAGAGCACAGCCTATCACATGGAAAAGGGGGAGGGACTAAGTGCGGTGTCGTTGGACCTTTTATGATTTAACGGGAAAGAAAAAATTATACTGGTGCAGGAAAAAGCCTTTCTACGTGATGAGCGAGCCAATAAAGAAATACCAAATAAATAAAAACTATTCCTTGACGGATATTGAATCCCTGGGAAAGTTGCTGGCCCCATAAACCATTCAGAACCGGGTCATAATTTCATTATAAACACGTCTCTGAGTAGATAAAAAAACCCAGGTTCAGTCTAGGTAAAAATACTAACAAGTCTACAACTCTGACTTTGAAAGATATGATTTCTTTCAACGATTGCTAAGCGTTTTAATTTTATTTTACTGTTGTTTTCAAGTTCACGGTCCATTTTCATCCTAACACCTGGCTTTCTTGCTGCCTTCCACTCCTGTTATCTCTTTCATGGTTTAATTAACCACACATGTGTGGCACCTTTATTTATGCGGCTTGGTCCACGGATGTGAGACTTGTTCCCTGTACAGTCATATTTGCTCCTGTAAGTGGCTTGGGCAAGACGTCCTGTGGTCTTTAGCATTTTATTTCTTTTACCTTCCGTACTCTCATTTGCAACTAAACGGGATGTAAAAAGTGCTAAATGCATTTCAGTCAGTTTCCAGATGTTTCTGATGTACCGTATTTTTCGGACTACAAGGTGCACCGGATTATAAGGCGCATTAAGTGAAACAAGTTAATTTTGACAGATTCTTGAGCGCCGTGTACCACATAAAATCAGTTTGAGGTCAGTAAGCACAACCAGAATTAATACACAAGGTGCACCTGAGGCTCACTGTTAACTCTTGAGAAAATTAAAGGATTTTAAGTGCGCCTTATAGCCCAAAAAATACGGTACCTGAACACCGTAAAATCCCCTGCATGTTCCTGTGAAGAGATGAACCCCTTTCAGCAGTGCCATTGATTTCTGAAGAGTATATGGTATTTTAATAAATGTCCCAAAGTGAGTATTGCTTGATGGAGCTTGAACTCTACTTCCCCTAATGTGGTCGAGCAGCTCGCTTCCTTTTTGACGTCTTCTGTTCTCTTGCTTCACACTTGAGTGCTTCCTGCTAAGAAAAGGTGCTTTTCTGTCTGCTGAGCCCACTTTGTACCGACCGATAAACTCATTTTTTTGTTATTTTAAAATAAATTATTTGTGGATTATATATTATTATAACCTTAAACCGTGGAACTTTATACAATTTTGAATATAACATTAAACTCTTCTTAGCAATTTGCAGACTGAAAACAAAGGGATATTCTTTGAGCATAAAAGCTTGCCATCTAATGCAAACTTAAATAAAGGCCCAGCATTCTTTGAAGGAATGCATATCACCCAACGCCTTTCATGCCACGATTTTAGACCAAGAGCATCTTATGATGAGAATAAACAGAGCATCAATCCTCGAAAATTTTTAGTGCAGTCTCATGCAATTTTGGAAGATCTCTCAGATTATGTGCTGAGAATGAGCTCCATCCATTGGTTTGTGAATCATCTTGCTAACAATGAAGACAAACACAGAAACGGGCAACTACATTTTAGCCAGCCTTTGTGCCAGGTTGTGATAAAGATAGTCATTGTTAAAGCACAATTGTGTGTGAGAGAACATCCACTGTATACACGGGGGGTGGAGGTTCTTAATGTACCGGAGTGTAGCTGTTGAGGTTGTAGCTGAGAGGTGTTTGGGGCTCTTTGGGGAATTTTCCCATTTGTCTGTGGTGTTTCAGTTAGAGTGGAGAGGCTGCAGTACAACCACCAATGCAGCAAAAAGACACAACGAGGCATTGAGCAATTTTTACTATATGTTCATTCAACTCAAGCCCGGTGTTTCAACTTAGAATGTGGAGGTCTACACTGGATTCAAAAGGAGCCATATTTAATGATGTATTCATTTATTGTGGTGCGTTCCTTTAGTATACTTTTATTGTACAACTAAACAAACTGTTTGACCTTTGGGTTTAATTTGATTATTGATTAGTTCAAATGAGTTGTCATTAAAAATGCTCATCATTTTTTTTCCCCATTTTAGGGATTAGTCCAGTGTACTTGAACCTGTTTGGCCTAATGATGGAGAAAAACCAGATGTGGTTCCCCCCTAACCACATCTTTAAAGTGAGAGCAGGAGAAAAGGACGAGTGTCTGCATTTCAGAATCAGGTGGTAACAACTGATTTATATATTTATTATTTACCTTACGTCAGATTTTGTTTTCCTGTGTTGCGCTCATTCAAGTTTCTGTGGTCAAACCTTCTGCTCAGGTACTACTTCCCCGGCTGGTACAACAGCAGCAACTCGTTCTACGCCCATCGCTACAGTTGGTCCAAAGAGAAGGAGAGCCCAGTCATGGATGATTGTGTCTTAGCCTACCTGTTTGCGCAGGTTGGTCCCAAACCTCCTCATGTCTTCACAGCAGCAAAACAACCAAGTTCGAAGTCCTTTATATGTGTGTTCTTTAAAAGATTAACTTTTTTTTTCATCTGAATTTATTAATTTCACCTGTTTAGAGATTAGAAGACATCTTCAACGCTTTCAGCTAAAGCAGGGGTAGATATGTATAAGGACGTTTTCCAGGTTGTCCAGCGGACAACCTCTTGACAGAATCTGGTTGTCCAACAAACTATTTGGTTGTCCGCAACCTTTACAACAAAAAGGCAAAAAATCTCAAGAAAAATTGTAATTTAATAAAAATATTGCACTCTCCAACAATGTTCACTTAGGTCTTTTTTTGTGCTGAGACAATTCGTCCGTCATCCAATGGACTTCTTCAATCTGAGGAGCCACCAAACAGAACTGATTCTCCACCAACAGCATACTTCATAGTGGAAAAAAAAAACTTTTTGCTGGTGCTAAAATGGCCTCTGGGGCCCACCTTCTCTCCCGTCAACTCCTCTGAGACTGTCATGCCAAAGTGGTTCAAAACACCAAAGTTCATGCTCAGTAATCCAGGTATAAAATCCAGCAACGTTCAGTTAGGTCATCTGAACGGTTTCTTTTTTTGTGCTGTTTCCATCCATCCATGCAAACCACTTTGGTATGACTGTCTCAGAGGAGTTGATGGGGAAGAGGGTGGGCCTTGGATAAGGCGTGCCCCAGAGGCCAGCAAACTGTTTTTTTTTCCATTATGGAGTATGTTGTTGGTGGAGAATCAGTTCTGTTTTGTGGCTCCTAAGATTGAAGAAGTCCATTGGATGACGGACGAAATGTCTCGACACAAAAAAAAGAAACCGTCCAGATGACCTGACTGAACATTGTTGGATTTTATACCTGGATTATTGAGCATGAACTTTGGTGTATTACACTGTATACAAAGTTTACTGTGTACAAATATTCTCAATCAGCCATCTTGTGGACTGCTTGGAAAGTCCAAGCTAGTGACTGGTAGACTCTTTCAGGAGCTGCTGGAGTGGAGCTTCCTCGTTCTCCAACAAGGTTAAGTCAGGTCCTCTGGAAGGATTATTGTTTGTTGAAACGTTTCGTACTTCTTCTTGACTGAAGAAGTCTTCTGGACAAAAGACGAAACGTTAATCCGTCCAGAGGGTCTGACTTAACCTTGTTAGATGTTTCTACCTGGATTATTGAGCGTGCATCAGGACTTCCTCATTCTCCTCCTCCTTAGACATCAGACCCCACCCCCTATACAACACATTCAGCAGCTTTATAAAGCTAAATATATACTGTGTACATGACCTTAGTAAAAGTGCACAGTACATTGTTCTGTAATGAAGCACCATCAAGAACATCATTCTGAAGGAAGTGATGGGTTTTGAACAACTTTTCTGTAGTTTACTTTTGTCATGTCAGTGTTTTCAATTGGGAGGTCAACAGATAAATCTTAAAAACGTAGCTCATCCAAACAGCCACAATACCTTGTTGTTGCTAAAAGACCATATAGAATTGAATTTTCCAGAATTTCATGTTCAACTACAAAACACCTGAAACTGACTCTTGCACACGCCTTTGCTATAATCTGAGGCATATCTGAGGCATTGTACTGAAACTCTGGCACAACAATTTCCTGCAGGATCAATAAAGTTCTATCTTATCATATATAAATATTCAATCTGGACACAAGTTGTACATGTCTGTACGATGTGCAGAACACATAGTTAGATTTTAAATACAAAAAGTATCTAAAATTGGGCATATTGAAGGATTTTTTTTGGGGTGGGAGGGGGGTATCAGTTCTGGTATCCCCCCACGGCTGCAGTGAATTGGTTACGCATGAACACATACAATACTTAGATGTTTCATAATTTATTACATGTCATCACCTTCAGTTAGGGTAGCAGGGTGTCCTCCTTGGAAAATAGTCCAGGAAACACAGGCTGGTGGTCGCTACGATGTGAACACTGTGCACCCCGCCCTGCTTGGCTCTGACTGAGTCAAACTGTGGCTCTGGTTCTCTGTATTTGTTGAAGCAAGTGTCAGTTTAATCCCTTTATAATTATTTGATTGAATGCGGATGTTCAAAATGACGCAACTCCATCGCGGCTACGGAGAACTTTAATTCTTGTCTATTTCACTCGGTTGTGACAACCTGGAGAGACGTTAAGTTCATGAGATCTGGTTGTCCGAGATGAAAATAGGTTGTCTCAGAAGAATCAGAAACCGCTTATGTCAACCCCTGTAAAGTATTCAGTATTGTCTTTTTCTCTGTTTTGTTTTACGTTTTGTAAAATGATAAGAACGACTGCTGGGTGGAGATAAAACTTTTGCCTGACTGCCAGTCTGCGTGTCAGTCTGTCAGCTCTTTGTTTTGCTTGGTTTCAAAAACAGGAAGTAGTAAGAGTTTTTTAAGAAGCTTAAATAAGGAACAAGTGTCATGCCAAGTTTTCTTGTGTGCTTGCTTATGTTTCTGCGTGTTTGTGTGTAAACCTCACCCATCTCGACTCAGCATTGTTCTCTATATTTCCTCTTGACACCATGAACTGTGTCTCAATACACATTCTTATTCTTCTGGAAATTACCTGTCTCCAGTTTGTAGATCGTTTATTTATAAATATATTTTTTTAATTTCAGCATTTTTCTGATCTTCCTTCTGTAGAGTTTACCTGGTTAAATTATTAACCTGCTGAGAGAACACCAGCAAACATATCCCCCTCTGACAATGAACTACATGCCACTATAGACAATTTAAGGACTTCCAAAAACTCCCAAAGTCCAAGGAGTTGTTTTTTGTTTTTGTTAAATTAAACCCTAAATGTGATTGGTTATAAAGAAATAGAAAGGCAATTGAGTAATTAGAATGGTGTACCATCAAGGGTCTTACTAAGGCAGTAGTCCAGGGCCCTGAGATTTGAAGGCCACAAATTGCTTATTATTTATTGAAAAATGTTTTACAGATGTCTTGTTTTATTTATTTCAATGAGATGAAAGCCAGCGTCACTGGAAAGAGTTTGGCTATATTGATTATTAACAACTTAATGGTGTTTTGTTAATTTGCTCCATATCTTGTACAGTTTTTAAATCAATACAGTATAGTATTTCTAAACTAGAAAGTTCCTGGAGAAATGTAGACGGCGACTGCCTTGTGGCGACCATTTGAGTTCCGTCTGTCATTCAGATTAAGAAAAATGGCGTTTTTCTGTGCGGATTACGTCGCCAATAAAAGTAATAGCACACCTCACTAAGCTGAGCCAGTCGTTTTGATATATGATTTGTTAGGGTACACATTGCGGTTCCGGCAGCATTAAAGTTGACGGAAGAGTACGATATAAAGTTAAGAAACCCTTATCAGGTGGATAATAATAGGTGGCTGTCTTTCTAGGCAGCCTGGTTTGTATATATTTCTGTTTCTTTGTTGAAGACTGATGCAGTGTAGTTGTTGCTTTGTGTAATTTTTGTGTATTTTCACCTTCATCTTGAGGTCCATGCAGCAAAATCTTTTTAGGGATGCAAGTTCTAACAAACAACTTGTAATTTCCCACAAAACCAGGTAGCAGGTTTGCATTTTTTTGTCCAAGGTTTTGGATTTTTTTTCCAACTAAAATGCTGTAATTGCAGCTTATTTTGCTTTGCGTCATCTCAACTGAGTACACGAAGGTTAAAGTTGATGTGGCTTTATCGAAGATTGTTGCAGCATTACTTGTTGTTTGATATTCTCTGATCTTGACTTTTTCTCTTACGTTGCCATGTCACTTTAACATGATTTGGTCCATGGGAAAATGGAATTTTTTTTAAAGTTTAAATAGAGAAATAGTTCAGGTTCAGATCTGTAGTTTTTCTGTACTTCTGACTTTAAATGTTACATTACAACTAGGAGCAGCTCTGCTCTGTCACTTGAAACTTTGAAGTTAATGTGCACATAACCTGTAATTTAAGTAAAAAACAAAAACAATTAGGGATGCACAATTTTATCGATATGGTATCAGTATCGGCCGATATTGGCGATAAAGTTAAATATCAGACATCGGCCATTCCATCAAAATAACTCACCGATGTGAACAGGTTGAGTTTAGATTTGTTAAAATTTACAAATTTGCACTGTTTGAGTGTTGTCTTAGTGTTAGCGAGAGTAAATGTCATGAATAAATTTGACATTAAACATAATCCAAGTTGAAATGTTACATCATTTTCAGCCCCTTTTTGGCATCTGCATTTGGTAGCAGGACAAATTGACAAAGACCATGCAGAATAATGTAGCATGTTGATTCACAGCAGAGAAAGATATGTAGTCTCCATAAGGAGGTCTAGGGAAAAAAATATATTGGTATTGGTATCGGTTATCGGCCAAATAAGTTTTAACATATTGGCATATTGAATATCGTCCTAAAAGTCCAATATCGTGCATCTTTAAAAACATTATAGGTCTATAAAATATCTAGTCTAGGGACCCTCTGTAATCCTGGCCTATATACCATAATACAGTGATTGATGCATCTTATTTTCTAATTTCATGCTCTACATTTTTATCTTTGTTGTCTTCTTTTGCATTAGATTTATGTTCACATGTATTTTGTTCCCTCATTTTTCTCAGTGGCGAAGTGACTTTCTGAAAAAGTTGGTTGAAATTCCAATAAACCATGAGACTCAGGAGGAGTGTCTGGGAATGGCTGTGCTGGACATAATGAGACTCGCAAAGGAGAAGGATCAGTCCCCAGTGGAAATTTATAACACCACCAGGTAGGAGTCACTCCTTCACCCGATACGAGCACCCTTGATCAAAGGGATGATGGCGCTATTCTGATTGCGGAACGTGAAAATTGTCATTCGGATATGAAAATTGGTCCAAATGGGTTTCGCTTTCTAAAGCTGTGAATAAGAATAGAACAGAAAAGTGTTGTGCAACATTAGGTTTTAAACAACAATAAAAACGCGTAACCTGTTACTTACTACACAGAAGACACATGTTTTCATACATTTCTCCAAATCAACCTCCAAAATGAATAGTGGTGAAACTGCGTTGCTTTTTTCTACATACATTGGGATACAACTCTTGAATCTGATTGGATAAACTGATGACTTTGGTTCTCTTTACTTGTTGAAATCAGCATTAGTTTAATCCCTGTCATCATTAGATTGGATGGCTTTAAAAAATAACTGCAACAAAACACGTTTTTTTATCCCCTTTAAATTTTTACATATGTTCAAAATGACGTAAATCCGTAGCGGGGATAAAGAACTTTAATCCATGTCTATTTCACTTTGTTGTTCGCTGGACAACCTCGAGGTGAGATCTGGTTATCCGAGATGAAAATATTGTCTTGTTAAATGGAAACGGTTTATGTCGACCACTGGTATGAGTACACCAGGTTGTGTGACATCAGGTTTCAGCACTGGGCCCCTTCCTGTTTGCAGTGGTGATGGACAGGTTGTAGATAAGATCAGACATGAGTCCCACGGACTATAATGTTGGCAGTGAGAGTAGGGAGCAGGTGGAAGACAGTCTGAAGAGGTGGTGATATGTTCTGGAAAGAAGATAAATGAAAGCAGAAGCAAGACAGGGACCATGTGGGGCTGAAGGAAGCTGCAAGTGTGGGAAATAAAATTTGATTTAGGAGACATGACACTAACAAAAAGACAGGAGGCCGAGCTGGAGGTGAAGGTGTTGAGATTTTTATTGAGAGTGACCAAAATGAACCAGATTAGAATTAGGCTGGTTTAGGAGATAACCGTGAGCAGAAGTACCACAAACCAAAACAAACATTTTAAATTGCATCAATTGATTTATTTGCCTATTTTATTAAACAAAAATGCAATTATTTTTTCTTTTACTACGTAAAGGTGTAGTTGCACATTACTACAAAAATATTTGTAATCATATTAAATTTATTGAACACATATAAATAAGAAGACGGAGAGAACGCAGGTGAACATGTTGACAGTAACTCTGTTTAAAAATCACTGACGGCTCACTCAGATTTTTAGTTTATATTTTGATTCACAAATATATTGAAGATCAATACATTTGCAATTTATGTTTAATATCGTGTCAGCTAAATCTCCAGTGTATATTTATTTATAGTTCTAAAATAGTTGTGCCTATACAACGTCTCTGCGGTCCTGCTCTTTGTAAAGTGGCATTAGGAGCTTGATTAGCTCATGTTGGAAACTATTTGCTGGGTTTTGGACACGTAGCTCTTGTAGCTTGTTGCAAACAGTTGTTTCAAAACAGCAGTACCTTAAAAAGACAGCTGGAGGTCGCTCCTCTGATGGACAAGCCACAATTGACTGTTATCAGCAGGATAAGACGTAAAACAAATCGATGACGTCTTTTTTTTTTCTTCAAATCAGCCAAAACTTTAGCTAATCCCCGCCTTTAGCTACGGTACACAACTGAATTAGAGCAATAGATAAGAACAGGACAGCGTTCCATGTGATTGCAGGGGAAGAAACGCTTGTTTCTGGTATCTTATTAAAAGGTATTTCAACAGCAGAAAATATATGACGGAAAAATTAAGTGGTTTTGACATTGCGACTTTTTTGTACCGTGGCATACTGCGAAATCGGAAAGTACTGAGTACATCACAGGGACAGCTTAGGTTGAGACGACAAAGTTCGAAAGGCAAGGCTGAGGAAGTTTGGTCATGGTAAAAGGAGGGTAATGTTTTTTGCTGAGTAGATTCACTCCTTGTTTTTCTGTTTGCACTAAGTCGTGAACATTCTTTGTTTTCAGCTACAAGTCCTTCCTGCCACAAGATGTGCGGCGCCGCATCCGAGCGTACAACTTCTTCACTCGGAAGAGAATCCGCTACCGCTTCAAGAAGTTCATCCAGCAGTTCATAGAGTGCAAGGCCACCGTTCGGAACCTCAAGCTCAAGTACCTGATGAGCCTGGAGATGTTGCTGCCGTCTTTCTTCTCCGAGCGCTTCCAAGTCACTATCCATTTACGAAAGGTTGCCATCGTTGTCTCGGGCAACGAGGGCATCCTTTTGTATAACGGGAGTTGGAGAAATGAGGCAGAGGAGGTGTGGACCAGGAGATGGGTTAATGCTAATGGGATGCTGGGATTCAGCCTTGAGTCATTGTGTTTTGTCTTCAGGAGCTGCAGCTATTCTGTGATTTCCCAGAGTTGATCGACATCAGCATCAAACAGGGCAATAAGGACGGGCCATTAGAGAGTCGTATAGTTTCCATCACCAGACAAGACAACAGCACTCTGGTATAGTACTTTCTTTTCTTTCCATTACTACAACTAATCTGAATATTTTTACTGTTGTATTTTTATAATTTTGGAATGCTGTATAGTTTACACACATGTAGCCTCAGATGAGGCAGTTAAATTATTGCCTGAAATAAAAGTAAATGGTCACAAGGGGAAAAATAGCCGCACACAAAACATTGAGTTACTCCAAGATGTAATTAATAAACGCTTTTAAATTATTTAATTTGCATTTTTCTATTCTTTCTGCGTCTTGAAAGGAGGTGGTGTTTCATTCGGTCGCTGAGGCGCTCTCATTTGTTTCATTAGTTGATGGGTATTACCGACTGGTCTCAGACGGCCATCACTACCTGTGTAAAGAGGTCGCTCCGCCGAGACTTCTCGAGCGCATTCAGAGTCGCTGCCACGGCCCTGTATCGTAAGTGTCCCGCTCACGCACAAATGCACGTCGCGCGTGTTGCCGTGCACCCACAAAGATGCACTCTGTCTCTTTGATCGCAGGATGGAGTTTACTAAAATGAAGCTGCGTCGCTCAGGTAACCGCCAAGGCCTGTACATGCTGCGCTGCAGCCCCAAGGAGTACGACAGGTACTTCATGTCCTTCATCGTGGGGGTGAGTACTGTTAGTATTAGGTATTCTTCAGTGAACTTTATATGCAACGTAAAACTAACAGGCGGGGCTGCTTCATGTTGTCTCTATGTTTATAGTCTGCACTGAAACTGTGCAGTTATATAAGAAAATGAAGAATAGTTATTCCCCAAATTACAATTGTTATATTTTCAACCACTAGAGGGAGCAGTACAGTTTGATCTTCACACAAAGAAGACAACCCAACTGATGTACAGGTCCTTCTCAAAAAATTAGCATATTGTGATAAAGGTCAATATTTTCCATAATGTAATGATAAAAATTAAACTTTCATATATTTCAGATTCATTGCACACCAACTGAAATATTTCAGGTCTTTAGTTGTTTTAATACTGATGATTATGGCATACAGCTCATGAAAACCCAAAATGCCTGTCTCAAAAAATTAGCATATCATGAAAAGTTTCTCTAAACAAGCTATTAACCTAACCATCTGAATCAACGACGTAACTCTAAACACCTGCAAAAGATTCCTGAGGCTTTTAAAAACTCCCAGCCTTGTTCATTACTCAAAACCGCAATCATGGGTAAGACTGCCGACCTGACTGCTGTCCAGAAGGCCATCACTGATACCCTCAAGCAAGAGGGTAAGACACAGAAAGAAATTGCTGAACGAATAGGCTGTTCCCAGAGTGCTGTATCAAGGCACCTCAGTGGGAAGTCTGTGGGAAGGGAAAAGTGTGGCAGAAAACGCTGCACAATGAGAAGAGGTGACCGGACCCTGAGGAGGATTGTGGAGAAGGGCCGATTCCAGACCTTGGGGGACCTGCGGAAGCAGTGGACTGAGTCTGGAGTAGAAACATCCAGAGCCACCGTGCACAGGCGTGTGCAGGAAATGGGCTACAGGTGCCACATTCCCCAGGTCAAGCCACTTTTGAACAAGAGACTGCATCAGAAGCATCTCGCCTGGGACTGCTGCTGAGTGGTCCAAAGTTATGTTCTCTGATTACAGTAAATTTTGCATTTCCTTTGGAAATCAAGGTCCCAGAGTCTGGAGGAAGAGAGGAGACACAGAATTCACATTGCTTGAGGTCCAGTGTCAAGTTTCCACAGTCACTGGGGTGTCATGTCATCTGCTGGTGTTGGTCCACTGTGTTTTATCAAGGGCAGGGTCAATGCAGC